GGTTTAGGGTTTAAGGTTGGGTACTGCCCCCACCCAGTAACAGTCTACATTAGGGGTCCTATTAAGGGTTGGAATATACCCCTATGCATACCCTGCGCGAACCCAAGCATACCCTTGGAAACGATTCATTCCATGTCAGCAACGCCTGAATACCCTCATCCTTTGACTGCAGAAAGCATGGCCCCTCAAGTCCAAAAAGTGCAAACACTATATTCCCGAACGACTGAGGCCCCAAGTCCTAGACCCCAAAATTGTAAAACCATGGACACTAATCCCCTGAACCCCAAGCCCCAGAAAATGCTCCACTCCCAGTCCCCAAAGCCTGAATCCCACCAAAATCCCGCGGAGTAAATTGCCAGCGAGCTACGCTTCAGCTCGGCGGCGGCTTTCACAACCTGGCCAGCCCACTTCTGGTGTTAGGGCTTTGGGGGATTTAGGAATGTCAGGACTTGTGGATCTCCAGTGGTGTACGGAGCTTTTGGGCTCTGGAAGCTAGGACATGTTTCAAGGTTTGGAGTTCCTGGCTACAGCAAGAATCTGAAAACTTTCAGTTTGGGGATTAATGTTTGAGGATTTGTGCTCTAGCGTTTGTGATTGTTTTACGGAATTCTTTGCCATACGTCTTCAATAAGTCATTGCATCTAAAACGGAAGGCTTCTAGCCGCTCTGAAGACGGGCTCTCTCAAAATTCTGGATCCCAATCATTGGGAATAGCCAATTCTGAGGATTGTTCTAGGAGGGCCGGCAAGCCCACAAGTTGAATTGCAGGCGACACGACATCATACATCGGATGAGACGGAATGGGAGGATCGAGATTAATTGGGAGGCTGCTGAGCCTGCATGGCTCATGAAGCTCTTGAAGTAGGATGGCAAATGCTGTGAAGACAAGTTACCCTGTGGGAAAGCACAGCTTTGGAAAAGAGGCGCGGGGTTCAAGAACTGCCGCCCACAGATTCCGAAGCATCAGAAAGAAAAGCAAAGAAAACATGGAGGACTTGAAAATGGACACGAAACCTCATTCCAACTACTCACCCACCACAACAACTCTTTTTCAAAATCATATTGCAGTGCCCATGCAACCAGGTCATAAGCCCCCTATCAACATGACGAAGCGGCCTGCTTCGGTAGAAGGAAGGACTCGTCCCAGAGAAGGCTATGGAAGACCTGTCAGGCTTACAAGAGGTGGACAAAGAGGGAAACCGACTTACCTTTGCTGAGCTAGGAATGAAGGAATAGATCATTTTAGTGGTCCCTAAATAACCCATTATACTAGTTTCCATTTTCTTTTCCATTCCTTCGTTCCCAGCGAACCAGAGGTAAGCTCTATATACACCCAGTTTGCATGTCATTTTCCATTTGATTCTCCACTATTACTGGGGTACTCTATATATATATACATATATCCCCATATAACCCCATATAACCGCGATAAAACCCCTTACCTGTAGGGCTTATACCTGCATGGCGGACACAGTGGGCTCCGAAGGATCGATGGCTTCAGACTTAAAAGTCCCACCCTCCGTGGCGAGTATGACTCCCACTGTTCTCAAAAGTTAAGGAAACATAATTCCAGCCTTGCTGTTGCTAGGAGTTTACATAAGGGTTATTAAGGGGTTCCATAGGGGTTATTAAGGGGTTATATAGGGGGTCATATGGGGTTTATATGGGGATAGTGAAAAAATAAAAGGGAAACTACTATTTGGGGTTCAGGGTATACTTTTATGGGCATTGTCAACAGCATTGACGTCATCACGTCTTGAGAAGCGGGTTCGAATAAGGGTTACACTGCCGCAAACTGACATGGGACCGCAGTAGGGGCCCTGTAAGTATACTGTCCCTTTTTAAAAACGCTGCGTGCTGCTCCATGCTATTTTCAGCCCAGCCTTCAGAGACTCGGAATCGGAAGGCGCCAGAGGTTGTAACGCCTGCAGAGCGCAGAACCATCTTGCGTCACAGAAATGACAACCCCGACTGGCAAGTATGAGATGATCGCATTGAATAGTAACAATATTAGTAACAATAATATTAGTAGCAATAATCGTAATACTAATAATGGTAATATTGGGGATTACATAAGGGCTAATGGTTAGATCCATCCCTGGCTCGCTACTTACAACTGGTCTTCGTACCAAAGCCCTAAAGCCTAGACCCTAAATCCCTTAAGAGAGGCGGCCTGCTTCTCCCCAGCATGAAGGCCCTCCATCGTCATGTTGTTTGCGTTTTGATCCGGCGGCTCGTCCTGGTTAAGGGTTTAGGTTGTCGAGTTTGGGTGGTTTGGGGCTTAGGGGTTCCGGGTTTACCGGAAAACAAAATGGAAAAGAAATTGCAAAATGAACTGGAAACTTGGATTAAATGAGTTTTATGGGGAGCTTTAAGATTCAGGGTGTAAGGCCTAAGTTATAAGATTATCTCATTTGCCTTATGGTCCGGGATCGGCAGCTTCCAAAAAAAAGGAAGCGAGCTTGAAACAGGGGGAAATTATTGGAGGCATATAGCAGTTTATGAGCAGTTTATGGGGATGTTATGTCTGTAAAGGGTAGAAGAGGGTCTGTGGGAAGGTTATGGTAGTTCTCAGACAGCCGGGAGCAGGCAGCGCAACAGGTCCACTGTTAAAAAACGCAACTACCAAAAAGCCATGGGATGGAAACTACCATACGGTTTAGGGTTTAGGGTTTAGGGTATCTAATGTAGACTCCTGGTTAATAAACCCCCTCCCCTTAATGGGGATTGTAATAGGGATTCTATTATTCAAGCCCTTAAAAGGAGAGGAGTTATTAATCATGGGTCTACATTAATGTATAAACCCGAAACCCTAAATAGTAGTTTCCATTTTCTTTTCCATTATCCATATATAACCCCAATCTTACCCCTATAGGTCTACATTAAGACATCCGTAAGAGATCTATAGTCCCCCTTAAGTAGATAGAATATGGGGTATATGGGGATCTTATTATAAAATCCCCAAAGCCATATTCTATCTACTTAAGGTGGACTATAGGCCCAACATGGTCTTCCTAAAACAGTGGCCATGTCATCCCGCAAGTCGCTACAATCCGTACTAGCCGGGACCGCGTCTCCGGAAACAGGTTGTAATGAGGCCCGATCCTCAAGTCTTTGGTTATATTGGGATTATATAGGGGTTATATAGGGTTTAGGGTTTAGGGTTTAGGTTGGGTACTGCCCCCACCCAGTAACAGTCTATACTAGGGGTCCTCTTAACGCCTATACATAACCCTTTTATAATTATTATCCAACTGTTACTGGGTGAGGGGCAGTACCCAAGGTTTAGAGTTTAGAAGCTGGAAACCCTAAACCCCTAAACCTGCCTCATAACCGAACTTCCAACCCACTTTGCCCCTTGGTCCTGGGGTCAAATGTCTCGCAGAGACACTCCATAGACTCTTACAATATCAAACGCTTTCCCTGGTGCTTAGGAGTTTGGGTCTGGTATTTTTCATTGAAATCCAATTTTACCCCACCGCGCGTGCAATATCCTTACCAAATTTATAACTTATAAGCCTAGGCCCCGAAATTCTAGCAAACCTCACACACCTAACGCCCTCAACTCTTATCATTACTCTCATTATGACTACAACTATTATTACAAATATTACTACTATTATCACGATTATTATCACTACTATCAGTATTACTATTCTTACTATGATTATTATTGGGTTTAAGCCTAAACCCTAAACCCTAAACCCCTAAACCCCTAGACCCCTAAACCCCTAAACCCCTAAACCTCCTTTAAGTTTAGGGCCTGGAGATGCCAAGATCTCAAAGCCTGGAGCCCTAATCCCGCAGTGGATGTTTCGATCCTGCAGCAACTCCTCAGGCGGGAATCCCTGGAACCACATTGGCGGCTTGGTCAGCAGGATGACCTTGGCAATTTGCAGGGTTTTTCGGGATAGACCATACCTGATATAAGCCTAAGTGTAAAAAGGGGGATATATGGGGAATATATAGGTAGACTATGGCGCATATGAGCCTTCATCAAAAATCTTAAGCTTCTCGCTTGTGGTATTGTAGCTCTTGAGTTCGGCCGTCCATTTGGCTTCACAGCAAATATCAAGCTACGTGCTCGTCGGCATCGCGTTGCAGCGCTTTGGCCTTCATGTTCGGAAGTTGCTACATCGGACGACCCTAATCCCTAAACCCTGAGACCTAAACCCGAAACCCTAGGAACTAAACCCTAAACCCTCAACCCTGAGTTTGGGCTTCTTCAATGTAGGTCCTGCAAGAACCCTCCTCGGCTGCATATCTAGGCGCAAAAAACTCCTTCTGTGTTTGGCTCATGTGGGCTACAATCTAAACTCCGAGTATCCCCTTTAATAAGCCCTCTAGTAGGGACCCTATATGGGTGGTTGTCAAAATTATGGTCCTTTTTGGGGTCCCTATTATAATACGGCCCCTAATATTTAGGGTACCCAAAAAGGGACCATAATTTTGACATCCACCCATATAGTCCTCTAGAACAACCCCTTTAAGGAGTTTAGATTTTGCGGTTCAACCTTTGAGGCTCGGGCGCCTTGGGGGTTTAGGATTTAGGGGGTGTGGGGGTTTAGGAGTGCAGGGTTTAGGGGTTTAGGGCTTAGGATGCATCATTTAGGGTTTAGGGTTTAGGGTTTAGGGTTTAGGGTTTAGGGCTTCGGATGCATTCAGCACTGGCAGACTTGTGGGAAGCCACAAGCGTGGATACCAATAGAACCCCAGCTGTAGAAGATACTTACAACTCTACGTATACATCCCCTGTATAGAACTACACGGTAGTTGCCCCAAATTAGGGTACCCCAAAAAACTATAGTTATTATTACAAGGAAGCCCAAAAAGGTAAGGCTAATTTTGCGAAACAAACGAATGCCTCCACAACTACCTTGAACCTCCAAGCGGAATGCTACAAAGCTACCGGCTGCCCGCCCTTTGATGAAGACACGATCTGGTAGATCTTCGGCACCTGACAACCCCCACAACCCAAAGGGATCTAAAAGTCATCGCCAAACACTCTACAGACTCTACAAGGGGATCATATAAGGAACTATCTACCGTGCTATTGCTTGGAGTAGGGCATTCTAGAAATCATACGAATATTCCTGGGGAACTATGACGGGATCGCAACCCAAAACATTGACTTCTTTGGGTACCCCTTAGCCCCACCTCCAGAAGCTACCCACCTCTGGGTTTCCAACGATAGGGGGACCCTGCCCTTATACCACCCCAAAATACTAAAACACCCCCACAGAGGGACCCCGCATATTTGGAAACCCCTAGATGACAGTCACAAGTCAGAAGCAGAGCTTGAAACTTGAAAGTAGAAGAGATCAAATAAAGGGGTATAGCTCTACAGAACCCTTGGAAGTGGCCCATTTGGCTGGAGCTCATGCAATGCACCACACTACTGGAAGGAGAGTTTGAGGGTTCTGGAGACTTGTGGTTTTGAGTTTTACTTACTGGTTCTTAGTAGGGAGCATGGGAATACATTCTATAGGGATTATATTCCCTTGCGCTCTACTAAGAACAAATGAGTAAATGGGCACAATGCCGCAAACAATTTCGCATAGAGGTCTGAACATAGCTCACTCTGACATGGAAACCTCAGTCGCCTTTAGATAACTCCTGTAAAGCCGCGGGAAATGCTACTGGAGTCGGCGCCCACATGCAGCCAGGACGACTAGGCGACCAGATTGCTCATTGTTAACCCAGGGCTTTTAAGGTTATATTGGGGTTTATATTGGGACAAAAATGGAAACTACTATAATATACCAGGGTTTATGTTGGGGTTATGTTGGGATAATGAAAAAGAAAATGGAAACTACTACTCAGGGTTTAGGGTCTAGGATTTAGGGTCTAGGGTGTAGGGTTCAGGTTCAGGGACTGCTGCGGCTGTTGACCTTGCTGCGCTGGAAAGGTCCTTTTCCAGGGTGGCTGGGGTGGGGAAAGCCCCTAAATCTGCAACCCAACATGCCGCGGCACATCTCTCGCACACACGAGAAGAACCGATTGGATGTGCTCCTGGCTAGGCCACAGAAAAGATCATGTAGCCCAAAGCTGAGTGCTTTCGTAGGAGATCTTTTCAAACAAGCTTAGGGGGTGTCTACGCCAGGTTTCATCCGGGGAATCATCTCTCAAGGCTTGAGCGTTCATCCCTTGGAAGCTGATTGCTGCCATCTGCACAAGGCCCTACCCCTCCCACAAACTGAAATAGAATCTTACACTCAGCCCTGCTGAAAGGTCTGTAGCCTTCGCAGGACCCTTTTCGGGCTTACGTGCTTTCCATGCTAGAGTGAGGGAAGTCTAGCTTCAGGAGACCTAATTTCTGTAGGTACGAGTACTTGTTGTCTATCAGAGAAATCATGAGAGAGTACTGCATCTTCTGTCTCTGGCTATAAGCTGGGTTTGCCCTACCTGGCATTAGTATGCTGCATACAAGTCGGTGTGGCTGCTGGGCAGTGAGGGAACCTTAGGGCTTAGGGAAAAGGTACTCTTGCTCTGAATATTTGGGATGAAAGTGGCTAGCATCCCAATCCAATATATTACGCATTCAGTCAAAAGGCTTAGGAGCCCGCCTGGGCTTGCAGACCCAAAGCCCTGACTTGGAACCATCACCTGAGCCCTGAGCCCAGATACGAGGCATTGCAATGAATTTGATGGCATCCTTGGGTCCCTCTGAAGGAGGGAGCAAATCAATCAAAATTCTTGCCAGGTCAACTTCACATGTTCAGACATGTAAGAGATGGCACTATCTGCAAGCAATATGTGAGCTAGCTACCTTTGGGATGTGCAGCGTTGTGTGCCCTGCAGAAGAAACAGATCCCAGCGAACATCCTGCCAAAAGAACAGCATAGTCTTGCGAAGCTGAGATGCACTGAAGCCATCATCACCAACCTGCCTGAAGCCTAAAAGAGTAGGCCCACTGCCCGAGCAAATTCTACCCAGAAAAGAAGCGAAACTGAGACCCAACAAGGTTCTGCTGCAAGCCCCCGCGCCTCTGAGAACTGTTGGCTTTCCCTAAGTTTGCTCTGCAACAACTTCACAGTCGGCGGAGAGCGCTTCTGCGGATGGGTGGGTGGTGTGTTGTTGGAATAAGAGGTGGCGGTGGAGAAGTTGGACTTGGTGGAAGGGGGGGTTTGAGACTCCCTTAAACTAAGCCAGAGCACGAAACAAACCACAATTACTCTTTACTGTCCCTTGCTTACACCTTGTTGAGGTACTTGCTTAGCTCTTTTCGTTGTGATCACTAGATGGTGTTGTCGGTGACCTCTTCTCGAGAAGGCTTAGAACTTGGAGCTTCAGGCTTGAGGAAACTAGCTCAAGGGTGCCAGCTGGGTAGATGCATTACGAAACACTAATACTGTCTGCAATTTAAACTGTAGGAGAATATGGTAGTTTCCGGAAATAAGGGGAACCCTATATAGACCCCAATATACTATAATCCTTATTATGGGGACCCCCAACATGGTACCCCTAATTTGGGGAAAGCCCCATATAGGTTATAATCCGGTTGTAAATTGACTGTTTTCCTTACATAGGCCTTAGGGAGCCGGGCGGTGGCCGATGTTTTGGACTGAGTGCATATGGGTATTTCCCAAAATTAGGGGTACCCTTTTTGGGGGTCCCCATAATAAGGACTATAGTATATTGGGGTCCATATTGGGGTTCACCTATTTTGGGAAACTACCATATATAGAAAGGCAAAACTGACCCAACTCTGAGTCATAGTCAAGAATCCTATTTTGGGGGGTTATTAATGGGAATCGTAGGGGTTGTATTTGGTATTAGAGGGAAATGGAAAAGAAAATGGAAACTACCATAATGGGTTATATAGGGATTATAGTATTTTGGGGGTATTATAGGATTTACTGAACACCAATGATTCTTGGAAATCCGTTACACTCCTGAGGACAGCTTATGTAACCTATTTCTAAGAAGATTCTAGAGGCTTGCTTGATCTTGGGATCAAACACATCATGGCGGTTCAGTCCTTTAAGACTTCTTCACAGGGACCCCATAATCCACTTATGATCCACATGCATGCCTGGGTTCCCTGCAGGGCCCCTACTTTCACAAACATCACAGACACCCCAAGACCTGACAGACCCAGAAATCAAAGCGTGTGACCACCATCCCTGCCGCCACCCCCAAAGGAAGAGGAGGAGCAGCAGGCGAAGAAGAAGTAGCAATAGCAGCGCGAGCTAGCTAAGCATAAAGCAATAGTACGAAGACGTGCCTGGTAATCGTGAAAAAAATATCCGTTAAATCAAGCACCGCAAAAACTGAGGCAGTCGTTTCCTGTCTTGGGCATCGACAATAGCTTGGCCATCCAGAGCCAGTCTTCTATGCACTTTGGTACATGCCCTAGTAAAACTCGTGGTGAAAGAACTGTTCAGAGAAGCCCCACTACCAGGATAAAGCCTCTAGCAGCCCTACGCAATATCAAAGCCCTGACATCGTGGACTCAAACTTCGCCCCGAGCTGCCTTCATGTCTTTGTTGGTGCGTTACTTGGCATTCCAGAAGTAGCAGAGGTAACTTCAATTCAAAACACTACCCTGGCCTGATCTAGGATACCCACTGCCCCAAAATCCCGACCGCCTTGTACAGATCCAGGATCACCTTTGCGATCGCGGCGTTGAAGGCCTTGTGGCTGAGGGATTCCAAAGCGGCAGCAGCTACCAACAAATTGTGGATCTAGATTCTGCATCCTAAATCGCTACTTCGCTAAGGTTTCTTCCCCCTTGCTCGAAGCACCTAGGATGCCCCTTCCAGTGACCCCTTGAAGTCTGAGTCTTGAAACTCCGATCAGGGAGGGGCCCTGCTTAAACCTCCAACTGGGAGGCACCCTACGTTAGCCACTTGAGCTGTAGTCTAAACTCCTAGTATCCCCCTTAATAAGCCCTATAGTAGTAGCTTATATAATCCCCTATATAACCCTCTTTAAGGAGTTTAGAATAGGGCTCACTTGAGGATGGGTGTTAGTGATGAGTCCGTGGGTCGCAGCAGCAGGTAGTCCGGGAATCCTGATGACAACTAAACTGGGTTACTGTTCAGGAACTTAGATTCAGTGACCATGATGGGTTCATATATGGGTTTAGGGTTCAAGGAACTTAAATTAAGTTACCATAACTGGTTTGCCCAATACAGTAACTTAAATTAAGTTCCTCAACAACATCCCAGTAAACCCTGCAACCCTCAACCCTCGATCCAAGCCCTCTCAACCCAGACCTTGCACCCTGAACGCAAACCTGGAGCTCTCAACCCTAAGCCTCCACCCCCTAAGCTGTAAAAACCGAAAACTCAAGCTGTTAGCCCTAAGGGTCACAAGCTCTAAACCAACATCCAGTCGCCTTCAACCCACCCCAAACCCTCAACCCTATGTAGGCCCATCTGGTCCAAGTGTTGTTTTCATTTTTCATGTTCTTCTCATGGGATTCTCCAGCATCTGAAATCCCTTCTTAAATCCACAAGCCTTGTCGGTTTCCATTTTCTTCTGCATTCCATATTCCTGTACTATTATGCAAAAGCCTGTACACCGACATAGCACCCAGTTTCCGTTTCATGTTCCATTCGCTTTTTTCCACTTGATTCTTCACTCCCTGAACCCCCAGTTGAAAACCCTGAGCTGTATCTTCCACTGCATGATCCATTTCATTTTCCATCTTTTTCCATTCAACGCTAACCTAAGCCCTGCCGCTTTGGCAACCTCCCATGTACGGCTTAAATACCCTAATGGCCCTAAACTTTCCCTAAGCTCCCTAAACCCGAAGCCCTAAACCCTACTCAACTTTAAACCCCTCAGCCCTCAAGCCCCTGGCCGTCAGCTGCCGCTGGTCTTCTTCCAGGTCCAGTGGCAAAGGCCTCTGCTTCAGGATGGCGAAGAAGTCGTTCAGGCCCTGTCAGGCTTCAGGGATCAGGGGCTTCAGGATTCAGGGGCTTCAGGGATTGAGGGTTTAGGGGTCCAGGTGCTTGGAGGGTTAGGGGGTGTTGGGGCTTAGGGCTTGGTCTTTATACGGCTAAGGGCTGAAGGTTTCGAGTTGAAGGGCGTAAGGTTTCGAGTTCTAGTGCTTAGGGGTTGAGGCGCTTACGCTTGCATGTGAGGGCTGAGGGTTCAGGACTTAGGGTTCATGATTTAAAGGTGTTGCGCCATTTTGGCCCATACAATGCGCCCCAGTTACTCCGGACGCTTCAGAAGTCCTAGTTTTGACATCTCGTCGTGTACATGTTCTTTTGAATCCAGTTTGGCGGAGTCCGACGCACGAATCAGAAATCTGCAAGCCCTACTTCCCGCTTTAGCAAGGCCCTAAGAGATCTGGGGCTCAGTCTTTGGAATTGTTTGGCTGCCATCCCAAGTCTGCCAGGCCATCACCAAGGGCTTAGGGTTCAGGGTTTGGGGCTTCTTCCCCTTAACCATCCTAAATCACAAGTCCTGCAAAACCTAAACCCTGGACCCCAATCATCAAACTGCCAAACAACAGATACCCAAAATCTTAAACCTAAATCACCTAGACCGAAAAATCTCAACTCTCAACCCCTAAACCCTGGAAACCCCGCAAAACGTGACCCTAACCCATGCAGACCAAACATGGGAGAAAAAGATGGCTCTAACTGAATTTCGAGTGGGGGAAAACCATGTTTGCCCCTGAACAACTGGGGACAAACGTGTTGCCGCCTAACCACCAACTGGGAAAAATATATGTTTCCCCCTAAACAATTCAGGGCACATATTTCACCAAAGACAATTGAGAGGAAACTATTCCCCCCTAACTTCCAAGCCTCAGGGCTGGACGTGTTTGCCTCCTTGGGCAAGATATCGTCCAAGCCTGGAAGTCTGGGAAGATCCGTTTAGCAGTTAGGTGGTTTAGTGTTTTAGGAGTTGGGGAGTTTAGGATCTGGGAAATGGGAATTTGGGTGTTTAGGGCTTTGCAGACGTTGAACACGCTTTTCAGATCTTGTCAGGATTCTTAAAGTCCGTGTAGAGGCCCTTGAAGTCTTTGCGGGTGTCCTTCTCTCCGTCTTGCGGAATGTCCTTCAAGTTGTCTGAGAACTCTGTTGGCTCTGGCTAGAGATTGCTTGAATTTCTTGGAAACGGTTCTCAAAAGTTGCTTAAAACTCACGGAACGGGCTTCTTGAGATCGTCCGCATCAGCCTCACAGCTCCAAAACCGTGATCCCTTACAATAGAGTTATTCCCCGAACGTAAGCCTAACCAACAGCGACGATGGGACCTTTCTTCAACTCTGCTTCCAAGATACGCTGCAACACAAGCCCGCAAAAATCTTAGCCCCAAGCCCTGAACTCTCAACCCAAGATCAAATGGGCATCACCAAGAATGAGTTCCCTGTACACCACGAGAATCCTTCCTACCCTACCCCCGGAAAGGGACCACCTTCCCTCAACTCGACCCTGAATCTCTCTGCAAGCAATCCCTGCCCAGCAAAACTACATAGGACACACCCCTAAACCCTAAACCCTTAACCCTACCCCCCCAACCTCCTCATAATCCCAAATATTCTCAAGGTCCGTGAAGGGCCCCAACCCCCCTATCCCAGGCCGTCGAGCTGCGCAGCTCAGTCCTTTCCGGTTGACCCGACGAACTTGTCGTATCAATTGGGGCCTTCTCAACTTTCTCCTCGCGACAGGGCTTTCGGGTTTCAGGGTTTTGTGTTTAGGTCGGGTCGTTACCATTTTCCGTAACAATTACCACAATGGGTAACAAGAACTGTAACAACCCCTTAATGAAACCCCTTTATGGACAGTTACTGGGACGGGGGGACTGACTTAATGTATACCGTTTTAAGGGATTTATAAGGTTTATATAGGGATTTATTAAAAGGTTATGTAGGGATAATGGAAAAGAACATGGAAACTACTGGGGGGAATGACCCAGTGGTTAGGGTTTAGGGTTTGAGGGTTTTGGGTTTGGGGTTTAGGGTTTAGGGTTGAGGGGTTTGTCTAGGGACTTTGCGAGGGGCCCTTAAAGGTGACCCTGTTAGCTTATTGGGGATCATATGGGTAGTACCTTGTTATATAGGGGGTATATAAGGCCTATATAAGAGTTATATAAGGTAATGGGATTAGGGGTCCCTTCTAGAGGTCCCTCCTAACAACCCTCGATTTTGAGTTTAGGGTGTAAGGATTTGGGATCCTTGTCAGCTTTGTAAGCTTCAGCATTTAATCTCTGCACAATCCGCTCCCTTGCGACATATTCGATGCGGTTACCTGAATTAAGTATGTAAGGGCTGTCCATTCCAGAGGTACATTAACAGTTACCACAACGGGGAATAGGGGCTATGATCGCCCCTTAATAAGCACTCTGTAAGGACAGTTGCTGTAAGGGAGAATGACCCAAGACAGAGCTTGCGTCTGGGCAGGAGGTCTTTAAAAACGGGGGTACCATTTGGGGGGGTTCCTCTAATCAGGACTATCGTATTTTGGGGTCTATATTGGGGCTATTCAGGGCAACTACCATATGAGCCATAGTCTAAACTCCTAGCATACCCCTTAATAACCCTTAAAGTAGTCCCCAACAAGTCGCTTATATAACCCCCTTTACGGAGAGAGTATAGTTCATATGGGGCAACCCCACATTTCGCCGGTTGAGCCTTATACAATGTCTGCTTGAGAGCTGAAGCACATCAGACAACAAAGCGTCATAACGGCGCTTTGTGCAGAACAAAATGAACAACCAGGTGCCGTGACATGCAGAAGTAGTGGTAGCCGCTCGAAATATTTGAATTACGAATGACTCTTGACGGTCGCTCAATGCTTCTTCAAAGGCTATGTATCATTGCTGATGGTTTTGGGTTTGGGGATTTGCGCTTGAAAGTACACATTATCTTCTTCGAGCCCAAGCCTTCGGATTTTTTCTATGCTGCAAGGCTCAAATAGGCTCATATTCTCTATAAATCTGGAGAACACGCTGATAAACATCCGGGTGGGACCCGTAGAGACCATAGGGAGCTATGGATTCTATGCGAAGTAGCATGGGATTGTAAGGTCCGCACTCATAAGAGTTATCATGGACCCCAAGACACCGAATCTTATATGTCCTTATACAACCCCCCGAAACTATACATATCCTTACGTAAGACTGCAAGACCCGCCCCCCCCCAACCCTAGGTTTTGGAAAACCCCCAGGTAGGGGTTTCTCAGCAGAATCCCTATAGAAATCCTGATAGGAACTCCGTATTCCACCTATAATCACCCTGAACCGTTAACTGCGTGGTTGCTCCCAGGGGTGCCAGCCTGGGTCATGTCCGGCATCACTTGCGTAGGCTGGGCAGAAGTTGTTATGTTGGGAGTGTTGGGCTGGGGCTTCAACATGGGGTTTTGGGGTTAGGAGATACGTATGCCGTGGTAATATGCTTTCTCTAAGGGATTTGGAACCCCAGTAGAAATTATAATTTCAGCTAAATATTAGGATTCTAGGTAACAGNNTATTTTCAGGAACCTTGTAGGTTAAGGTTTGAAGCAGGATTTAGGGCTTAGTGCTTCGGGTCGAGAGATGGTTTAGGGACTGGGATAACCTGCGAAGGAAGGACTCGGTTGAAAGGAAGGGATTTAATAGGAGGCAAGTCCCCATGCCTGCTTCACATATGCAAACGTTGGAGCCCATGTCCCCTCCATGTCATTCGCATGAGGCAGTGCTTGCCCGAAGTGCTGAATATAAAAGTAAACCGGAAGCCTAAACCCTAAATTTCAGGTTTAGGGCGTAGTGTTTGGGATGTGGGTTTACGGTTCAGGGTGCCCAACCGTACTCAACCTCTATCTCCTCAGCACTCCAGCAATACGAGCCACAAAAGTTTGCGCAGTTATCCTAGCGCTGGTAATTCAGAGCCGGGTGCCCTCTAATTCTTCATGTGTATCTATTGACTTATGTATCCATGTATACATGAAAATACGGAGAAACTTGTCAAACAAACATAGAATCTCATGTAGGCCTTTGCGTCAGGACTGTCGTCTTCTAGGACGTTCGCCAGGGTCTCAAGTTTGTTTGGTGGGCATAGTTGCCAGCCCCTTCTCCGCCTTCCACTTAATGTTGTTCCATAACACTGAAGTCTGCCAACCTTGTGCTGTTGACCATTGCGGCAGCTTAACGCAAATCTCCCACTCTCAGGGAGATTTGAAAAACACGTCAGATAATTGAAGGACTCCTTTAGTTGGGACCCCATAGAAGACGGTTCTGGGGGTTCAGGGCAGCAGGACGCAAAGAGTTCCTCGTTGCAATATCCAATTGGGATCCTCACAAAGCAGCGCGCAGTCAATCAGATCCGAACAACCCTACAACAAGCCTGAAGGCCCAAATGTTAGCAACCCCAGACTCAATGTGCTGAATATGGCATCTAGAACACCTTGCCGTTACCTTTCGCCAGTGAAAACAGAGCAGGTAGGAACATTGCGTGGTCTTGTCGCCCTGACGCTTTCTATGCCAACTACTCACCCCTCCCTAAACTCCCGCATCCTAACCCCCTCCCCTAAAAGCACAAACCCACCGCCGCCACAATAAATAGCCCATATACAGTACCATCAAACATCGGGGGGAACATTTTATTAGGCGGTGTGGAGGTCAATTGTTGGGGCTAGATTAATGGAGGTCCACTCTCAAAAGCCCAACATACTGCTCTTTTAGGCAGAGCTTTGCATGCAAAGCCTTCAAACCTTAAAACACAGCAACCCCATAGTGCTCAAGACATGCTTAAACCCTGAATCCCTAAACTTCAAACACGTTCCCATGTTTCCTGGTATGCCCCCTACAATCCTAGATCCCAACCCAACACCAACAACAGGTTGACCTTGCCAGCAACTGGCGGAGTTTGCGTGGTATCTGGGGTGCCTCACATCAAGGGGTTCAGTGGGGTAGCACTGCACCTCCTGGGCCCCTCAATACAGGTCTGAAGAGGGGGGTACCCCTGGTACCCCTGGGACGTTCATCACAAAGGGATCATGGGTGTCCCTATAAAGGATTGTATAAAGGCAATCTCGAGAAGCTGCCCTTAGCAACTACAAGGTTTAGGGGATTGTTTCGGGTTTGGAGGCTACCGCACACGGCTGCACAGGCTCCAGAATGATCTTGCAAGTGTACGGGGAGTCTAGTATCAGTGGCGCAGAGAATATCATGCTAGAGAGAAACTCTTCATCCAGTCCGTAACCTCAGACCCCAAGCCTGCAGCCCACTCAAAAGCCTCAACCCCAAACCCTAAATCCTAAAGCCTAAAGCCTAACCCAAGTTTGCACGACAGGTGCCAAGGCAGCAAGCTCCCATGCCATTTCATCGTGACACGTGCTTTGAACTGTGAGACCTGTCTGAAAAGTACAAACAGTCGTGCAGACAACTTTGAAGCTATCATAATCCTCATATGAGCCTTAATAATGGAGAATCAAATGGAAAAGGAAATGGAACATGACATGGAAACTGGGGTTCTATAGGGGATTATAGGGGTTATAGTCTACACTCCTCGTATCCCCCTGAATAAGCCCTATAGCAGTCCCCTATATAATCCCCTATATATTGGATCATGTTCGATTCTGGCAGAGGCGCTTGCATCTTCATGCGGCAGGTTGAGGGCTAATAAATAATAGTAAAAATAACAAGAATAAATAATAGTAATAATAACAATAATACTTAATAGTGATACTAATAGTAATAATAATAATGGTAATATTGCTTGGCTTGTGGGAAGCTCTTCGAGAAACATTTGAGTCGGTCACAGTGGTGGTCAGCACATGTTTCCTGAGCTCCTGACTAATACTGCTGGTTGATGATCATAATTACTCCACTACCACCACCACCACCACCACCACCACCGCCGCCACCACCACCACCGCTGCCGCTGCCGCTGCTGCTGCCGCTGCCGCCGCTACCACCACCGCTGCTGCCGCCGCCGAAGCTCTGCCACTGGTACCGGCTATTGGCACCGCCGAGGCCGCCGTCGCCGCCACCACTACCATCACCACCAAAACATCACCTACATCACATCCAAAACCATCACCAACATGACCACCATGACCACCATCGCCATCCACATCATCAATGCTGAGAGCCGTCTTATAACCGCTTGCAGTCTAGGGCCCACACCCAGGGCCGCCGGTACGAAGGGCGGTGCGTCCAGGGCGTGAACACCAAAGGTGGAAGACGGAACCTAGCGGTCTAGGGCACGAAGGACTGAAGGCATAGACTTTAGGGTCGGGTGTTTTGGGTTTAGGGCTTCATGTTGTTGATATGTGCATAGACTGTTTAGAGCTGGGAAGGCGGATTCACAACGTACAGGATAGCTCCCAGGCAACTTCATGGGTGGCAAGAATTGGCCGGGCCGCCCCATGTACTGGGTGCAGCAACAACTGCCCCCCCCTGCAATGAGCCTGCATGTTCTTTGAAAGCAGGACAGCGACAGCATTTCAGGTCTTAGGCTACGCATGTTGGCAGTTGGGCTGCGGAATCTCACGTGGTGAAACTAATATCATCACCTAAACCTGGACACGGGTAAACCCTAACTGCTAAAACCATATCCAGGTACCCTTAAGGGCCCTGCAACTCCACCACAACGGCGTAGGGCCCAAACTAGGAGCCCATACTTCTACCCCTAGACAAATGCAGCAAAAACGATGTGGGTTGTTGTCAAAATTATGGTCCCTTTTTGGGTACCATAAATATTAGGTGCCGTATTACAATAGGGATCCAAAAAGGGACCATAATTTTGACAACCACCCATGTGCAACTGCACAGCCCTGGGCCTCGGAGACCGCGCCGCTGGGCATCGGATCTGGCGAGGGGTCCACGTCGCTGTCCTCAACAGCAGTAATTACAGGACTGGTTCCTCATTGGGATGCTATCTCAAACTAGATTTTTAGATTTCGTCTTTCTTCGGTTTTAGAAAAGCAGAAATTCAAGATCTTGCCCAACAGTGACCCAGAGAAAGCTACTACCTTCGAACTTGCAGCTGCTTATCCCTGAGGCCCTTCCAATGTAAGCCCTTTTGCCGGGTAAGAAACCCTCCCACCCTCTTCATAATGGATTTCCCTGCATTGTATGCTGGGGCTAAAAAATGCTAATTGCTGGGGGGCTGAAGGGGTTTGTCTCAGGGTTTGCTCATGATGTCCAGCAGCTGACTTCTGAGGCGTCGTGTAACCCCTGAGTTAAGTTTCGCCCCCCTTACTAATACTGAAGGGATGATGGTAATTATGTTAAGGCCTTCTATGTCGCTAAACTACTACTACAACTGCACACTGGACGTAACCCAATCCGCCAGTCTAAGCTGTCTAACTCATAGCTACACTTTAAGCGATTTCGCCTTAGGGCTCAAGCGTTTTGGCAGTTTGGTGCTTGGGCTTTCGGATTCAGTGTCTGGGGTGCGTAGTAATTGGGGATGTTTTATGCTGAGGAGTAGAGTCAGACCTGGGGCTAGGAACTAGGGATTTGACGTAAAGCCAGGAGTTTTGAGGCAGGAGCTTTGAGCGGATTTCTTACTTTAAAGGACGCCAAATATACAGGTGCTAGAGACTTTTGCAGGGCTGTGGTCAAGATCATAGAGGTTGGTGCATACTTCATGTTAGATTGTGTCAGTACAGTCCCCAACTTTGAGAACCTTATCTTACAAGCTTCTACAGGCGTATACTGTACACAGGTTTATATAGTAAGGGCCCAAATACTGATTAGAAAGGAGGGCCATTGCTAATTCCTGAAGCTTTTTATCCCTACAAGCGCCAGCTTTCATGTCATGTCCTGCCATGCAAAAAATGTGTTGTTGAACCCTGCACGCTCAAACCCTGAAACACACAGAATCCCAAACCCTGGACCCTCTAACCAAAAGCCCTTTAAACTCAACTGATGTACTGTAGGGGCCTAAAAAACTGTCAATGCCATCTGAAGTTTACTTCAGGTACCACATACCATAATTTCAAAAGGAAACCTAGGACCATAGTATTGGTGATTAATTAGGCCACTATACCACCTAACCCCTATGAACCACTACATAATTTCAGTTTCTATTTCACTGTCCATAACATCATCTGTAACCCTGAAAGCTAGATATTCCCTATAACTTAGGTGGCACCCCTGCCCAGGAATAGTCACTATTAGGGATAATATGGTGATTATATTAAGGTCCGTTTATATTGCAGTTCTACCACTATTCCAGGGTGGGGGACCTAACCAATAATTCCCTTAAGGGAACCGTAATATTGGTATTATTTAGGCCCTTACACTTGGCAAGGGCCACGCCGAGGGTCCTCATCGTCGAAGTCCCCACCCGCCAGGAACATCGCGACTGCGGACCTCGATGGATAGTCCCCAAAAATGGGGGGGGTTGGGGTTTGGGTTTAGGCTTTAGGGAGGGTTTGGGGCCCAAAATGCTCCATGACACCTGCAGTGGCATCCAGGAAGTGTCTTTTAATTCATACGACGAATGAGACCTCGAGACATGAATCCTTCCACTTGACAATACATACTCCCAATCTAGCGCCCGAGTACAAAGGGAAGGAATATCTATAGCGGGTGAAAGGCTTCATTACTCGGGTGAGGGGATTATGAAATCCTTCCTTGACAGTTTCCAAACGTGTTGGTGGGCTCATTTGTCAAAGCCGGCAGAGGGGAGCCAAGTGTTAGGCAAGTCATCAAAAACACAGGTAATGGAAAAGAAAATGGAAACTATTATATAGTATATTATATATTAGGGTAAAAAAGGGTGTAGAAAGGGAAAATGGGATTATAGCAAGCATCCCTTCCTGTTTATGTTACTTGGAGGCCATATTTAGGTCTAAATGTCCCGAGGAAGCGCGGCCTTCCATGAAGCCCTGAACCCACTCCCAAACCACACGGTTTAGGATTTAGGGTTTAGGGTTTAGGGTGCCCCTGCCATCAAACCCCCACAAGCCCCCCCGCCTGAGAGCGAAACATGCCTCCCCGGACAGATATTCTCCCTAAAATGCCAAAACAAGATGTGGGCAACGTGCGCAAAGGCGCTTCTGCTCACAAACACCCAATGGGAAGAGTGATCTTCATTTTTAGATGCAGGCAGTCAGCCGAGCCCTAGATTGACGCTTTCCCGAAATTAGGGGTACTTCTTGGGGGTCCCGATAAAGGACGTGGATTCCTTTCTCTTCCTAAACCCTAGATGTCCACTGGCCACTGTGACCCTTTGCTCGCCAAGGCCCCGGCGTCATATGCTCTACAAGACCCTTGTCAGGGTCAGGGTCCTGATAACGAGAAAAGCTGTTGAGGTTTAGGGTTTAGGATTCAGGGTGTCAGGTTTAGGGTTTAGGGTTTGGTGTAGTTGAATAAAATCAGGTAGCGATCTTCGTATAAAGTACGACAGCAAACAAAAGAGAAGATCATCTTATTCTCTACTTGGGACTGCGGTGCCCTTAGTGGAACCACTACCCACAAGGGATTGGACTGGGCTTGGGTTCTGGAGGATGGAGTACTGTTTTATGGCCCCCATATGTGCTTCTGCATACTTATGAGACCCTAGGAAAGGGACCTCAATTTCGGTTTTTGCAGCTGTTGGAAAATGACCAAGGTTGGTAGACCGCAGCATGATGCCTGCTGTTTGCAGGCTGCGGTAGCGTGGAAATCGGCCGAATCTCTAACTGCTCGACGGTTCAGAATTTCGAAAACTTCAGATAAGAAGCACAGGCAGCAGAAGCAGACCGCCGGCGCACCCTCGAACACTTAGCCCCGAAACCCTGCCAGAATCCTAAGCCCAAGAAGGAACTCCTCGTTTGGAGCTGAGACCTCAGATTAAAATCGCCCCCGGCGATCTCCACAAATCCCTTGATGTTCCTACAACGGTTGAAACCCTAAACTCCCTAAGCCCGACGTCCTTACTCCTAAACGTCAGACCTTGGTTCCAGATCTTAAACTCCAACCATAAGCTTTAACCCCTAAATCCTACACACCAAGTGACCAAGCCCTAGACTTTGAATCCTACACCCCAAACTCTAACCCTACAGTCTACGCCGAAGCCCATGAACCCTGAAGATTAAGCCCCAAACCCTACAAGTACCTGCAAGTCTAAGTTTGGACTATGAGCTCCCGATAGGAGCCCTTTGCCTACTTAGGTGAATTCCAGGGGACCCTGAGAGGTATGAATTAGGTGGACCCCCCAACCCTGTAATGGTGGCTGTAAGGGATACTAAGGATTATCTTAGGGTCCACTTATATTCCCTAAACCCTCAACACTCACTCCTCGGACCTATTATATTCCTATTATACCACTCTTACCGGGTGGGGCGTCCTCCTAAGGTATAAGCTAAATATAGGCGGACGCTAGGATCAAGGGCCCATACTATGGGCCCAAGACTGGCCCAAGACTTCGAACCTCCCAAAATGCTATTCTAGTAGTAATAAGAATACTATTTGTAATAATAGTGGTAATAATAATAGTAATAGTAACAATAGTAGTAATAAGAAGTAATAATTGTAATAATAGACCCTGCAGGTACACATAAGGCGAGGACTGGATCGGGGGCATTGAGACCAGGTGGTGCTCCCAGGATCTTCGCAGCAACCTCTTCGCACAGGGGCACTAAGGTTTAGGGTATGATTTGGATTTGGGATCAAGACGTGAGGGTTTGGGATTCAAGGTCGACATGTTGCAAATGGTTTTGAGCTTAAACCTTGGGGGGTTAGGGTTTGGACCTTATGCATAGGACCCTGGGAGTTTAGACCAGGGCTGACACCTGGAAATCTATATGAAGCGTTGATTAAGGTGATTAGGGATTGGAAAAAAGAATCTGACTGGAGGTACCCCAGTAGGATTAGGTGAGACGCTGTTGGTAGACTAGCCAGCTGCCTTGGATGGCACAAGCTTTCCCTCCACAGCAATATCCATTTCCATACACCAAACCGAGGCATAAAATCCTTGTAGCCGCGTAACCCCGAACCCCACTTGGACCTCCCAAGTAATACCATCCGAAATCTGCCATTTCACAAGAGTAAAATGATGGGAGGTTGGGGGGGTGAAGGGCAGGCGGCTTTCAGTTAAACACCCAAGTGCCTAAATGCTTAAGACCAAACCGTAACGCACACAACCCCAGGGCCTAGGATTTCAAGGTTTATGGCACGCAAGGGTAGAGCCTCAAAGGGCTGCGCGGAGTTACTATAGGGTTTAGGGTTTAGAAGCCCTGTATGAAGCCTTGATCAACATACAAGTGCAGTTTGCATGGGCTGCACGAACACCCATTGACCTTCAGCCCTGCACCCTAATTATAAAAGCAGACTACAATGTCAACATGAAAAACAGTTTAGGGTTCAGGGTACTATTCAAGATGCAACCCCGCGGCGAAACCCTGAGCACGAGCATTAAACCTGCGCAAAGAATTCCTAAAGCAAAACGACCCCCTCCAAGATTGTTATGAAGCTACAAAACCTAATGGGCCCAAGAACTCGTGAAACCTCAAATCGCCCAGTCCCAAGGCTTTTGACTTACCTTTGATTAGCTAAGAATGAAGGAATGGATCCTTATAGTAGTCCCTATGTGCCCATTATGGTGGTTTCCATGTTCTTGCCCATTCCTTCTAAACCGTAAACCCTAAACCTTATAGTAGTTTCCACTATCTTTGCATTCCTTCTAAACCCTAAACCCGAAATAGTAGTATGTAACCCATGATACTAGTTTTCATTTTCTTTTCCAGACCTTCATTCCCAGCTAACCACCAAAGGTAAGAAGACCCTATACACTACAACCCCTATAGCCTATATAATACGAAACCTATATCCCTATATATAATCCCTATATAAACCCTATATATAACTCCTACATAAACCCTATATAAACCCTATATAACCC